CAGGACCGCCACTGGCGGCAGGAGCAGCGAGCGGGCGCGATGGACGCGGAGGACGAGGACCTGATGCCCATGGTGTTCCTCTGCGCCGGCTGCAGGCGGCCGGTGGGCGACACGCTGAGCTGGGTGGCCAACGACGAGGAGACGGGCTGCATCCTGCTGCGCAGTGAGTGCTGACCCCCGCCCCGCTCCCGCCGCCCTACCGCCGCGGTGGCCCTTAGTCACCCGCTTCCTTCCCCCCCGCCCTTTTCCGCGCAGGTGCGGCCACCGGCGTCTCAGTGGACGAGGAGCAGAAGCTCTCCAAGCGGCCTGGCGAGTGTGGATGGTGAGGCCCGGAGCCCCGCTGCTGCCCCGGGGGGTGCTGCGGGGGTCCCCACAGATGCCCTTCCCCTGAGGGAGCCGGGAGGGTCCCCACGGAGGCCGTGTGGAAAAGCCCAGTGGGCGGGAGTGCCCGTGTCCAGGGTCGGGGGGCCTGCTGGGTCTGGGCACTTATTTCGGGTGGTCTTGTGCAAGGTGCTGATGCTGAGTCTTGCTGAGGTCGGCCGGCCTGAGTGGGAACGCTGGCTGAAAGATGAGTGCTCGTAATTGCACTATGCAGAGCAGGAATGAATGCTCTAAAAAAAATGTAATGGTGGGTTGTTGGGGTTTTTTTTGAATAGAGATAAGGATATGTATTTCCTTTCCTTTTCTTTTATTCCGAATAAATATTATGTATCTATCTTACAGCATGCTAGAAACATTATTCTGTTCTGGCTGCTCACAGACCCTTGGCAACATCTACAGATGCACACCAAAGCATCTCGACTACAAGAGGGATTTGTTCTGTTTTGCTGTTGACTCAATTGAAAGGTAAAGGCAGAATTTTTATTGGTAAGCCTTGCCCACTAAACCTTACCCACCAGGCGTCATACTGAGGGATGTTCCTGTTAATATTTGTGGTGTGTCTAGAGGTAGCATTTTCTGCTGCTTTGTTCCAGGGTGGTTTTCTGCATTACTCTTAGCATCACAGGGCTGAGGTGTAAGAAACATCATCTGTGTAATGTTAGACAATTGCTAAAAAAAATAAAATACCAGGGCTGCCTTTTATATAAGAAATTGCATACTCAAGGAAGTAACGCTCGGCACACAATACAGGAGGGTTTCCTCTCATTCGATCAGAAGACACTACATGTGTGCTCTGCTTTAGACCACATAAAATGAGCCTGTAGTCATAAGTAGTACCAAATAGGCCTGGCTATAAGCTATTAGAGGTAAACATTCTCAGCAGAGAACATAGGCGGAGGGGCTTAAGCAGAACCTAGGGTGTGGTCTGACCTCTGCTGATCAAGTCTGCTTTTTCCTTGCTAAGGTAGGCGAAAGCAAGTCTAAAAACTTGAGTATGTGCTTGAGGCTCTCACTTAACTGTCTTACAGTCAAAAACTGTCTGGAAAATGAAGGTGCGCTATTGTGTTGGGCTTTATTGGTTTATAGCACTTTAAAATGGTCTGTAAATATTCTTCAGTAACTATATCCTGAATTGAGTCTCCATGCCAGCCAGAGTGCTTCCATCCAAGTATGACTCTAGTAAACAGTGATAGGTTGCTTTTATTTCTGTCTGGGCTAGTTCTAATGTTTCTGCTTTTGTTAAGTTTCAGTTCATTTATTCTGCTGTGTCTGTATGGATGTTCACCTTCCTGCTCTGGAAAGTTGGTTTTTTTCCTTTTTCCACAGCTATGGTACTTTGCTTTTTCCATGGCAGTAAAATTCCCTGAACACTAGAATGGCCATAAAATGGCATTTTATTGTGCAGTAATGGTGATGGCCAATCCTCCCAGCTATTCTCAGTGTCGGCATAATTTTTCACTGTGTCCTGTAGCATCAGAATTCGTGATTGTCTCTTGGAGTTCTAACTTTTATAAAGTGTCTTGGTAGTTCTGTGCTTAAAACTGTTTTCATTCCACCACACAGTTTGTTTACAAGATTATCAAATACGCAAGCTTTTTTTGTTGTCTCGAATCATGTTTTCACTTTGTTAGTGTATTAATCATAACCTCATAGTTATTGAGAACAGTGGATGAGCCCTACAGTTGTTTTTTGCCTTCAGAGTGAAAAGTGCATGATTTAAACTGTAGTGTATCAGTTACACTCTAGGATCCTCAGAAAAGCAAGCTCCTGCTGATGAAGAACCTTTAACTCTTGAAAGTCGAGCTGTCTTGGAAGAGGTAGTAGAAAGGGTAAGATTTAACCTTATATAATTTTTTAATAACCTCTCTGAAATCTTAATATTCTTAAATAGCTTATACAGAACAGCTTATTTCATCCAGATCAATTCTTTGGGTTTTAACATATATTGTAATACTTCATGCTATTAATGTTTTATGTAAGATTTTTCTTCAAATTTAATGGTAATTAGCATTTTCTGTTTATCAAGCACAGCGTTAGATGCCTATTTGTCTGTCAGAAATCATAAATTTAGTTTCTAATTAGTTGATACAAGTCTCTAGATTTTTCACTTTTAGTCCTGTCTCTTCTGCCTTTCATGTAAACTGACTTAATGCTTTTGCTGTTACTTTGTACTGAAATATTACATAATAAAGTTGACATTTTGCTCTACTGAAAACTTGTGGCTGCAGGTGGGGAGAGTTGAGAGCAAATAGTGTAATGAAGTTTGCTCTGAAAGCTGATGATTGTCTAGCAAAAGATGAATGAGCAGATCTGACACCAAGGTTGGAGACAATTACTTTGAGAAAGTGTGGAGAGTTAATCTTAGAGTTGAGTGAACTTTCAAACTATGAAAGTAGCAGGAATAGAATCAAATAAGACTGGTGATGCAAGAACAATTTTGCACGTTTACTGACATCTACGTATCCTCTTTTTATTGTCAAGTTCTGTTTATAACCGAGTATCTTTACCTGTTTACTTTCCAGGCAGACACTGTATTAAAGGCTCTGGAATCAAGACTGATTGCTGTTGAATTGAGTATGGCATCCCTTCAACACAGAGTTTGAAATAAATTATGTGCAGGAAGTTTTTAACTGCAGGAGAATGATGTATGTGGAACTTGTAATCCTCTGGAATCTGTGGGATCATTGCAAAAGCTGTGCAAAGAACTGAAAAACGTTGGTGGCTCATGTAGCGGCAGAGCAATGCTGACCGAGTCTTCACCATAGACAAGGAGTTCCTCTTTTCTGTTAAAAGGATACCCCAGAAAGAAATAGAATTTTTAAATTGAGTTTCTGTAGACATTGTTTAAATTTAACTATTTCAATTTTTATTTCTGAAAGCAAACAACTTATTTTCGAGTTCCTTGCTATTCAATATCTACTGAACTGGGTGTGCATCCCTTTCCTAAACCAATTAGAAAATATATCCCTGTGATGTCTGAAGGAGAAACATGTAATTTTTCTTGTCTCCACAGCCTTTGCTTGATCTGTGCCATTCCTGTCTGAGCACACTGAGCACAATAACTGTACAGGGTGCTTTTGTTGTCTTTTTTTGCAAGCTTAAGGCTAAAATGTAATGTAAAAGAATGCTTTAAAAGTATTAGATAAAATGGCTTTCCACACAGTATTGAAGGCCATATGTTTTACAGCTTCAAGGGGAGGAAAACAAAGCTGGTAGTAGTAACACACTTTTAAGCAAAGCTTGGGGTATATATTTGAGCAATGAATTCAAAGTGCTAATTGAGAACACTTGTCAGTATTTTGTTAATGCAGATATTTCAGTTAATTTGTCTTTGATTTTCTGTGTTTAACTAGTTGTCAGGGTTTCTTATATAGTGTGAGTGTTCTGAGTAATTTTCTGCTTAATAAAACAAAAGTAGGCAGTTGTAGTCCAAAGGAAGAATAATTTTGAGAAGGTTTTTTGTTACACAACATTACTTACTACTGCAAGTTGAGGTTTTCTCCAAAAACCTAGAATGAATTTTTTACTCTTCTCCCTCATTGGTAGGCAGTGTTTCTCTTGATGACTTCTCCCCTCACCTTTTCTGTATTTACTGCTTTGTTTTGAAATAGTAATCAAGTTTAGCATGTAGTGATGGGTCTCATATTCTTTTATGTTCAGATAACTAAAACATTTTATTCCTTGCATACCTGCCAAAATAATTGTAAGCACTAATCTTTCTAGTCAAATTACTTGGTGTAATTTTTGGGGCAGTTTCTTCTGTAACAAGTTTTTGAATGCTAGTAAGCGACATAATAGACTTCATCCTGGTTGTCTGAAGAGACCCATGAACTCTGCTCTTTAATTGAAGGGTGGCTGATGTTTATCGTTATATACAGAGTATATTTTTGTGGGGAATGTTAACAGTTGATGGCTTGATAGGCCTGCCTTTTCAGACATAATCCTTTTTCCAGATACGTGTGCATTTAACATGTGGATTTCTTTTTCTACTAGGGACAACTATGGGATCAGGGACACAAGCCCAGAAGGATCTCTGTAGATTTTTTTTTTTGTAGAGATGAACATGTGTTCAATTTTTTTAACCAAAGATTGAGACAGCACAACATCTGTATTCCAACAAAGCAGAAGCAAAACACAAAGGTGCAAAGATAAACTTGCATGTTTCTCTGATACTTCCATATTCAAATTATTGGCATGTTAGGTTATTCAATCTCCCACCTCTAATATTTGTCAACCTGCAGGTAGCTTCTGTGGGTTCTTGCAGTTGTTCAATTATATTATGAAAACTGTTTTAGATCTACCCTTGATGGAAAGAACCAGGTTTGGCTTCAAGCAGCACCTGTAGCTTTAAGCATGTTCCTCTGTTAAATGTGGAGGACAGCTAACTGGTTCATAGTGAGATCTCTAAATAGATCCACCAGCTGAGCTTCTTCTGAGACTCCTTTAGATAGATTCCTGGCACCTGTCTCCTATATATTGCTACTATGTGTAACAAAAGTAGCATATGTATATATGTAAGCAAGTGTTCAAAATAAGAAATGGTTGCTTATCTTAAGGTAAGCATGTGAATTCCATAGATACTGCTCTTTTCTAGCTACTTTGGGAAAAATGCCTGCTGAAGAAAGAACCCAGAAACCATTATCCCACCAGTATGCTCCTGATCTCACAGGCGGAAATGTCTAGATTGTAGAAATGTAAGAATCTGGATTATAGTGTTTTCCTGTGATGGAACATACACTTTTAAAAGTGCGTGTTAAGTAACCATTTTTCTACTTGCTTTAGTGTTATGATTTCCATATCTTTAGTGAATACCTGCATTTGGCATCAGTGTATATTTAGAACAATGTCTCTTAGCATATTGTAGGTGGGAGCTTGAGTACATTAACACAAGAGTCTCTCTTAAAATAGTGTTTCCACACTCTCAAGGGTTGCCAGCTTCTGCTTTGCTAAGGTGTGCAATGAACAGTCCTAAATTTAGCGTAAATTTCATATGAATGCAGATATTTAGATCTGAATGGGGAAATGTGTGTATGTATATTATTACAAGAGGCTGAAATATTTACTGCGAAGTTCAATTAGGAGTTAGTATCTTGAGTAGCTAACTGGATTAAAGGTAATAGAGAATTTTTCTGTTTAAATGTATAAATGTGTATTATAGTACACTTGAACAATTTTTTATCCATTAAGGAGACCTGTAGCTGTTAACTAACCAAATCAGTAGCAAAGTTTGTGTGCCAGCAGGATGTACAGTATACAGTTATGTGAAGGGTATTGCTCCTTGCTTAATAAGCAGTGCCTGTTACTGGGTGACAGTTCTTTCTATGCCCAGTTTCTACCCTTGAATGCTGGATAAGTAGGAAGTTTAATTTCGGGGGGGGAAGTGGCATGCTTTGTGGTACACTTCCTTATACTTGTGCATTAAGTGCTGGAAGGGAGAAAAGTTCTTTAACTTTGTATACAGTTAATAATGGCAGAGGTTTAGTTTAAATACAGCAGTACTTCATAACTCACTCTAGAGAGAAAATGGTACAGCATAGAATACATGTCTTCAGAGGATTAAAATTGAGGTTTTAGTATACCCTGAGTCAAACTTAAACACTTTTCTGTAACTTGAAAATGTCCCCAAAACACTGATAAGAATAACAAGCGAAACTCCATTTGTAGAGAATCCACTAGCAGGACAGGAATGAGGTTGGAGAAGGCAATATGTTCCACACAAAGAATGTATTTAAGGCTGGATAATGTTGCATATGTTCTCTGTATTTATTAATAAGCACATCATGGAACTGACAATTGAAGAAAAGTGTCAAACAAAAGCTGTCACAGGTGTGTTAAAAGATCTGTATATGATTAGGAGAGATGAAAACTGGGAGTTAGTTTAGATAGGACAAGCTTGTAAGCTGTTTTTGAAGCAGGGATAGGGAATAAATAGGTGAGCTATATTTTAGTCCTAGCCTTCCTCTTATGACTGTAGAGTACTGTTTGCTATGGTGTCAATGTGTCTGAAATACTGAGATTCTGTTAACTGTTTAACTTAAACATACCCACCCCCGTTTCCCTGTGTCTTTAGCCCGAGGTAATGCTGAACGGAACTTTCCCACCTGGCACCTGCTGACATCTTGGCTACTGTTACAGAAAAAAAAGCAATGATTTGTCTCCTTTCTTACAAATTTTGTCTCTATTAGCATGTGTATCTGTACTTGAAAACTGTCCCTAACAGCTTTCTTTCCCAAACTCATCTTTGCCAGAAATGCTTGTATGACTTCAGAGGATATTGGTCAAAGCTTCATGGGTGGTAACTGCTTTGTCAAAGCTGACATGCTGCTATTTTACAGTAGCCCTGTGAATGGCATGAGCTGGGAGGATAAATAGATGCTGTGCTGTGTGTTCTGTGCGGGCAAAATGTAGCCTACTGTGGTCCTTAATCTTCTCGAGTTGGGGGAAAGCTGCTGCCTGACAGTCATGTTAACCATGTAGAAGTATTGATGAATGGACTGTAAAGCATTTAGCAGCACACATGTACTTGTCTGTAAGGGCCTAGGAAACCTGAGGGAACCAACACTGGGACAATCACTCCTTTCTGCATAAGAAAGTGGAGCATCCTACAAGAATGGTTAGCAAGATTTGTGCTGACTTTGTCTGGTAACCTTTCCATGTGCCTTTATCAGATGATGCTGATCAAGCTGCTCAGGTTAGGATTTCAAAGTTGCCAAGGTGACAGAGCCATAGATTGGGTGGGTTTTTTAATTTTTTGCACCAAAATTTCAGGTTAGGCTAAGATTCATTAATTAGGTAGAGATTGCTTTTGTTAATCTTCCAGACTTAGTACTGCATCAGAGGCTGGACATACCTTCCTGAAAACATGTCCCAAACAGGCAGTGTTGAGAGTGGTAGCTCCTTGGCTAATCCATATTATAATTAGAGCTCTTGGTTTCAGGAGAGGTCTAGAAGATGAGGGTCTCAAAATTCTCCTGGCTGTTGTTCAACTTTTTGTTCTGGTAATAACAGTAGAAGTACTGAGTAGGAAAGGAGCAAAAATTAATGTTCTTGTCTGTTATTTCTGCTCTTAAAAAAAGGTCTGAAGAAGGTATAGGGAGCAGTTAAGTGTGCACTACATGGCAAGGCGTGCTAGAGCAAAGGTCCAGCAGGTAGCAGTGGGCTGAAAATTGTAGTTGCTGCTGTTAATCTTAAAGCATCGTGGATATATCTGGGGCTTCCTGGAAGGACACCAAGCAAGCAAGATGGCTGAAAAGACACAATGAATAGAAAGAAGAGAGAGTGTAAAATAAAACTACTATTCAAGGTGGGACAGATTTCACCTGGAGGAAGGGAATTGGGGGTGGAGAGGACTGAGGTAAAGGTGGAAACACTCTTATGGCTGTACTATGAAGGCTCATGAGAAAGGAAAACACCCCTTGACTGAGGTTTCTAGATCAGAAGGTTAGGGTACTTGTGTCCTCTGCAGGCAAGGAAAGGTTTCTTACCTGACTAAAGGTGGCCTCATCATTGAGAGACCTGAGGTAGATGTGTAAAGTGAAATCAACCATTTGGCAGGAAACCCTTGTGTCCGCTAGTGCCCTGTAGTTTATCCCATTTAGTTCTTGAGAATCCACTAGCTGAAAAACCATCAATGCCTCTTTCCCTTCCCTTTCAACTGGCAGGATAGACAAAAGCTGAAGAGGAGCCTAAACTAGAGAAAGTGTGCCAGAGCAGAAGGAACAGGAAGTGAAGAAAACTGGCACATAATATCCTGACAGGAAAGCATGATTCTGTGGGAGTAAGCATGAAGAAAATAGATGTGTGATTCCTAAAGGAGCCAAGCACCTGAATCTGTTCAGTTCCAGAGAGATCTGAACATCAGATTCCTTGAGGCCTTGTGTACACAAGCAAACTGACCGATACAGCTACAGGAGAGTAAACTGACACAGCAGATTGTTTCTGGAATAAAATAACTTTCATCCTCAGAAAAGTATATTTATATGGTGGGGAAAAAACAGAGCAGGCATTGTAGTGCAGATGCATGTCAAGTCTTCTATCTGAACAAGGCAACAGATCCTTTGAAAACCCTTCTCACAAGTCTTCAGGGCAGGGAAGGACTGCAGAAAATATATTCCCTAACTGAAAAGAGAAAGCCAACGAAAATTCTCAGTGAAAAAAAATAACAGGAAGAAAATGGCAAAAGGAACTTAAATACTGGTAGATTTTTTTTTTCCTTAATATCTTTATGATCTACAGGAAGTGGTAATGGGAACTTAGCTGCTCTTATGGAGCAAAAAATTGTAATGTATTAATTGCTTTAGCTATGTAGTCAAAATAGTAGCAAGCAGCTATTGTTAATCTAGTTACGATATCAGCACTTACCGTCCAAGTTTTCCAATTATTGCTAATTTCCATTAATAATAGAATTAAAACTTTTGTAGTCTTCAAACCATCTCCCCCTCTTCTCTTGTTTGTGATGTTCACCTTTGTACCTGTGGTCAGAATGGAGGGTCTTTTTTCCCCTCAGATGGGATGGTGCAGATATCTCAGTGCCCAGGTTCTTCACCAGGTGATGTACTGATGTTGGTAGTGGGGTTTAATTAGGACAGCTTGATGTCATTTGTGCACATTTCCAAGTGGCTGACTGCTAACAACATCTTTCTGATTGGTGTACAAATTCAGTAATATAATGCTAGCAGGGTAGCAAAATCCATGAACATATATGGCATAATGCTTTGGGGTAATAATTAAACAAAACTAAAGCTGAAAACGAACATTAAACTGCTAGGCAGCTCTGCCATTACAGCCAAGACAAATTAGACTGTAGTCAACTGTCTGTTGGCAATGGGCTGATGCAGCTATGACCAAGCTAAAGGAAGTTCAAGGCCAGACAAGCCCCAACCACATTTCTAAAGCCTTTTATTGCCAGGATAATACAAGGGCTGTGGCCTGCTAATAGCAATGATGGCACTGTATTGACTGTGCTATGGGGCTGCAATAGAAGTAAGGTCCGTTGCTACAATGTCAAGTAGCGTGACGCCATCGCCACAATTCTTTCCATGTGTCTCCTATGGCTTCCTACCGTGGGGTAAGGGAAGCGGAGCATTGTCAGCTTGAAAATGAGCACAGAAACACAATTGTGTTTTATTTTAAATTAACAAGAACTCCAAGTTCAGCCAAGTCACCCAGGAGACCAAACCTATGTAATTTTATAGTACAAGGCTTTGTGTTTTCTGCTAGGACAAAAGCGCTGGGGACATAAATTAGGAAAGATCCTCTTGTTTTCACTCTCTGCTGGTGTGAAAGCTACATTTCCCCCCTAACCCCTGAGGGCTAGTGCTTATACCAGAATGAGAGAAAAGGTTTGTTCTGAATTTTTTGTAAACAGAGAAAGCTCTTCCCAAATCTCTCAGCATGGCTAATAGACATTTCAAATGATAATGAATTAAAACCCAGGAATGCATTTGACTTGTCTGACTTTTTAGCTATGCTAGACTACCAAAAATACATTGTTATTGCACAACTTCTCATGAATCCACTCTGTTAGTAGAGCCACTTCAAACATTTCAAAATTATTTTCTATGCAGTTTTCTTCTCCAATAAGAATTTGCTATGAGAGGAACAGGTCTAGATGTGTTTCTTAGTGTTTCAGATAGAAGAATTAAATAGAGGGCACTAACCCTAGTGGAGGTAGGACAGGAAGGCTGCTCCTGCGCTGGGCAGAGAGCAGGCCGCTCCTGGAAGACCCATGTTCCTGCTGCATATCCATGGTTTGAGCAGGGTGATACTGAAGAGGGCAGCAGAATGTCTTAAGGATAGCAAAATATGCTTTATTTCATTAAGAATTTAAAATATTCAAACTGTTTAGCTTATCTAGGGAGTGGAAATTTTAGTGTGGTCTGTCAGTTCATCCCTGAGGAACAGAGATCTGTTAATGCAGGGACCTTCAGTCTAGCAACAAAAGAAAGGTCAGTGCTTTGGACTGCAAGCTAGGCTCAAATCATATTGGAAGTGTATGATTTTTAACAGAATCAGTAAGGCAACTGCTACGCACTGATGGGCTCAAATAAAGGACACTTCATGGCTGACACTGTGTGAGATAGGCACTGTTCCCAGCTGGCTGTGGGTTTGGGGGGGCCGTAGCTGTGTGGGTGGCATGGTTTGGAGCAGCCCCCAGAGGTGTGGGGCTTGCAGCCAGAGCTTGTTCCATCTGGCAGGACTGGTGTATGGGCAGCCTTCCCTGGGCCCCTTCCCAGTAAAGCTTTCCCTCCCAGGCCCCAGTTTAAAACCGCAAATGAGCAGCTATAACAACAACAACAAAAACCCCAACCCAACAGAGATGGAAACTGGGTTCAGATAGCCACCTTCAAGCATCCAAATAGGAGGTGTGACTTTCCAGCTGCTGGCAACTGTCCAAATGCAACCTCAGGAGCTGAAGCCAGCTTTAGTCTCAGGTGCTCTGGCACTTGTGTAAAACCAGTGCTTCAATGTCCGCCTGGGAGCTGAACTTCGGGCAGCCTCTCTACTTACTTAGATCTTGCCCCAAATGACCTGCTAATATATAACTGAGAGATCGATACGCATCCCATTTCTTTGCTTGCTAATATTACAGCAGGGTGACAGAGGCTCCCAAGCCTGCTCGCAGCGCCTCTATCCCTGGCACCTGTGGTCCATCCAGGCTTTCCTGGACAGGCCGGGAGAGGGCACATCTCCATAAGAGATTTCACTGCTGCTTAACAGTGACAATTAGGATTTTCCTCTCCAGCTCATTCTGCTCACTCAGGACTTGGGTTTTTCACTATGTAGTGCTGCGTGGGTTTTGCCTTTCTTCACGTATTTGTTCTTCAAGATGAATTTGCAGCCTAGCTGGAAACTGCCAGCTGCCCTGCTTTGTTGCTTGGAGGTAGGAGGTGTGGGTTTGTTGAATAAATACTCTTTAGGCTCAAAACTATTCTTATGGAGCCACAAAGGAGTCCATAGGACTCTCATCTGTACTTCCCTGGGGGTTCCTTGGTGTGAGAGCCGAGCAACCGAGCAACCACGTGACACTTGGGGATGATGTACTATTATTCCTGTGATGCTTTCCATGAAAAAACCCTGAACAAGACAGGCTTTCTTCATCTTGAGAGTACATTGAGGCTCACATCTGTCTTTTGTTTCTGATAGATGTTATAGAAGAAAAAAAATGCAGCAAGCATTCATTTAATCCATGTTGAGGAGCAAATGTCCATTATTTGACAGAAACTAAAATAATTTAGCTTATCTTTACAAAGCAAAATAAGATAAGGTTGAAAACATGAAAACTTGCATATTTAAGGATTTCATAAGTAGACCATAATCTAGTTTTCAGTGGCACTATGATACTCTGGAAAAGAAGCCAACAGCCTAAATTTTGAATGGCAAACTGCACACCGTTCAACATGAGCTAATTAACGCTGCTGGCAAAGCCCAAATAATTCCTAAAAGAAACAAAACATCTACCCACTGAATACATATTTAAAAATATCCTGGAACAGAGTGACTTCATGCAGCGATTCCTGTGTGAGTAACAATAGGCTCTGCATTGTTCACACTTCAATTTTTTCTGCATTTTTTTTCCAAATCACCAAATTTTGCATCCTCTTTTGAGCTGTGAGTAGCACACATCCAGAGAAGAACACTGGATTTAAGGTGAACCCCCTGAAAACCTATGGTTCTCTGAAACTACTGCTGCTTTTTGATGGCTGTTCTTTAAGCCTTGTATAAGCTAACCTCTGCATTATATCAAGACAGCAGGACATTTCTGAAAGCAGCTAATGAAAAAGGAGGGTTAAGTGTTTCATATTTGAGCAGGAATTAACGTGGCTTGGAAGCAGTTTGCAAACACACAAAAACTTCCTGGTTGCTGCTATTGGAAGTCTTTTCTTACAGCATCTCCTCCCTGACCCCTGTAAGTACAAAAGTCTGGGCTGGCTTAGCTGCGAAGTCCGCATTCATAAGGCTGCTGTTAAATTTCAGGCTGCTTATTTTATCTAGCCCGTGTCTTGTTAGCCCTCTTGCTGGAGTACTAACCCAGCCCCTTAGGCATGGTGAAAGCTGGGTAGCAGGAGCCAGGGCTTAGGGACACAACTTGCAAACCATTTTCCATATTTGGATGGGTTTTGGACTGCAGTGCTAGTTAGTCCCAAAGGCTTTACTCAGCAGAAATATGCCATACTGAATAACCCACTGGAATATGGTGGGATCAGATTCTCTTGAGGGTACTTTTCCTTGGCAAAACATTGGCCAGTCAGGTTTAAACTGCAGATTGTCTTTATTAGCTGTCCTGAGTCAAAAAAAAAAAAAAAATCTAGGTGGCTATTTGGCAATGGAGAGTCTTCACTAACCACTTTGAAGTTCCTGCATTAACATTAGTGGGTCAGCCAGAAGAAAATCATGTGAATGCACGTGGCACGAGTCTGCCAGTTCTCGCAGCCTTTGTAGCTGATTCACCCACTGCCTATGCTCTGCCCACACCATGCCCATACCCCATGGACACGGTGCTGCCAGGTCTCTCTCATTGTGACATCCCATGTGCCAGAGGCTGAGCGGCACCTACTACCACAAGGCAAGCAGAGGAAGAGCCACCTCCTAGGAGTTTTCATCCCTCAGTGGCATGTGCTCCTGTCACCACCCTGCACCTGGCCCGCAGTACCTGAGCTTTAGCTAGAGGAGCTCTCAACACAGAGAGGCTTGTGTGGCTGCAAAGTTCCCTGTGGGGGAATTACATGCAGAACTTGTACCTACAGAAAAGTCTGTGGAGGCTCTTCTCTCCCTTCAAACCAGACTCCAGCAGTGGTAGTGATGGTGAGTTCATTTGTTCAGTCCCTGCCCCATCAGGGAGCTGCTGTTGTGTTCTTCCCCAGGCTGCCTGCCTTTTCTGTCCATGCGCTTACATGTTGCTGCAGAATTCAAAACCAAAGAGTAGGCAGTGTCATATGGTTGCAGCCTTGGCTGTGCTGCCTGTCACATCATTCCATATGGGGACACTCACCAGCCCAAAGTTTGACTCCGAGCCCCAGCCAGAGATTGTAACAAACCAGTGTCCATCACACATAGTGCTATGGCACTGATGTCCATGCTGGCACCTCCTCCCTGGGATGTCAGTCCCATCTGAAAAGGACCAAGACCACCAATCACTTGAGTGCCTCTGAATGCAGAAGCAGACTTCCCACCATGCAGCATTGCAGCTCGCAGTTCCTCCCTCTGGCTACTCTGTACCCCTCGTACTTGTGTTTTGCTCACCAGAGACTTCTCAAAAGCTCTTCTGA